TCTGCACAAGCACACAGCTAGTGAGGGGGAGCTTCACGAGGCACACAGCTAGAGGGAGCCTTCAGCGAGGCACACAGCCTAGAGGAGAGAGAGCCTTCCGAGACACACACAGCTAGAGAGAGTGGCCTTCCACGAGGCACAGCTAGAGGATAGAGAGCCTTCCACGAGTCACACAGCTAGAGGATGGGAACCTGCCGAGGCACGACAGCTAGAAGAGGGGAGCCTTCCACGAACCACTCTAGAGAAGAGAGCCTACTGCAGACGATGCCCGAGGTCGTGCCAGTTGCGACACCGCCGACGACGATCTCGGCGACCACACGCGCACGCACGTATCGCAGCGTCGCGTCGCGGCCGCCGCCGCAAGAACATCCAGCTGCCCTCAAGACGGCGACAGCGTGCGGTCCGCGCTCGAGCGCACACGTCCAAGCGTACGCTCGACCAGCCGACGCACACCGCAGCTCGCTGAAACGCGCTGGCGGCAAGCTCGCTTGTGGCGCCCTGCTGCGCTGCGCGCCCGGCTGGCGGGGCCACAATGGCGGGTTCCGAGCTGGCGATTGTCTGCGTGCTCGTTCCATCCGTCGCACTCGGCGCGCCGGCAAGCTGTGGACAGAGCGTCGTGTTCGCCGGACGTGCTGGGCTCAAGCAGCTGCGACTCGGCATGTTGTGCATCGTGAACACTCGCGACATCGGCGATCCTGAAGATGACAATGGTGTCTTGCCCACCATGCGAATTGGACTCCTTCGTAGCAGACCAGTCGTACCCCCTCGCCTATTACTGTGAGTCTTCCGATAGCCACAACGTCGTACCAGCCTCGCTATACTGCGAGTCTTCTGTAGTGGACAACGTGCTCTACAACCACCTATCTGTGGTCAGCTATAGCAGACAAGCCGCCTATTCTCGAGTCTTCCGTAGTGCACAGCATCGTTACACCCACCTATTCTGTGAAGTCTTTCCGTATGCAAAGTCGTACACCCCATTCTGTGAGTCTCACGTAGCGCACAACTCGTACAACCCACGCACTTGAGTCTTCCTGATGGACAGTCGTACACCCTCGTATACTGGAGTTGTTCCGTAGCGCCACAACTCGTACCACCACGCTATTCTCGTGAATAGCATAGCAGACTAGCTTCGCCACTATTCTGTGAGCTTCCATAGCGACAGCATCAGTACCACCACGATATCGTGAGTCTTCCTAGCCACAGCATCGTACACCCACGCTATTCTGTCGAGTCTTCCATCGCCACGTAGCATGACCACCATGCTATTCTGTGAGCTCCATAGCGCCAAGCATCGTACCACCATGTATTCATGTGATCTCTCCGTACGCCACAACGTCATACCACCCACGCTATTCTGTCAGTGTTCCTAGCGCAAAACGTACGTACCACCATTGCTATTCTGGAGTCAGCTATTAGCAACAGCTCGCCTATTAGCAAGCTTCTGTAGTGGACAGTCTCAATACCATGCTATTCTGCGTCATCTGTCCCAGACAGGTCTCACCAACCCACGCGGACTATTGAGTCTCCGTACAAGACAGCGTCTCACCACCCACGCTGACTATATGAGTCTCCGTACAAGCAGTGTCTCACCACCCAGCGACTATGTGAGTCTTCCGTACAAGACAGTGTTCACCACTCCACAGCGACTATGTGAGTTTCCGAACAGACGCGTATCACCACCACGCGATATGTGATCTTCCTACAAGCAGGTGTCTCGAGCCACCCACCGACATGTGATCATCTTATACCTGCCAGCATCACACTTCTCTGCGCCGCGCGCGAGCGTGAGCCGCGTGTGGCCGTTGAGGCGACTCCGTGAGCGGAGCCTCCGACCGCGCGCCCCCCGATGCGTGTCGCTCGCCAGGCTGCCGAGTGCCGAGTGGGCTTCTCGGCGGGCGCCGGTGGGGACAAGCGAGACGCAGCGTCCGGCTCCGCGCCAGCCTACGACGGAGACCCGCATCCGGGGCGCGCGTCGCGTTCGTGTTCAGGTCGCGTGCGACGGACTCAGCACTCTCTCGCGTGTGAGGATCAACGCATCGACGTCCGACGACTCCTGCCCGACCTGCTGCCCCCAACCTCCAGCCGGACGCCGCCACCGGAGGGCCGCGCGCGCGGTCCACGACGCGATTGTCGGCTCGGCAGCACTCCAGCGCGCAGAGCGCGCCGCGCTCGACAGCGCGGCTCTTGGATGCTGTGTCGCCCGTCAAGGCTCGACAGCGCCCCTCCTAAGATCCGTGTCGTTGCAGACGCTTTGATGCCTGAATTATTCGCAAGGCGCCTCGCCCGCTATCACACTCTCAAATGGTCAACAATCGTCGGCCCCAGGTCGTCGGTCGGTCGGGTCATCGTCGTCGCGAGTCTTCCTCCGCGCGACGCACCGCGCACACTGAGAGCGCGGCTGGCCCCTGCCGCGGACGCGCAGCGGGGCTCGCGCGACAGCGCGGAACGTCGGCCGACGTGAGCTCTCTCTCCTCTAGCTGTGTGCCTTGTGGAAGACTCTCTCTCCTCTAGCTGTGTGCCTTGTGGAAGGCTCTCTCTCCTCTAGCTGTGTGCCTCGTGGAAGGCTCTCTCTCTCTTCTCTAGCTGTGTGCCTCATGGAAGGCTCCCCTCCTCTAGCGGTGTGCCTCGTGGAAGGCTCCCCCTCCTTTAGCTGTGTGCCTCAGGGGTTGCTCTCCCGCCTGTAGGTTTCACCCTGGTATGTTTGCAGTGAGAGGACAATGGGGACCGTGGGTAGTTCTGTGCATGTGTTCACCTCTGGTTGGGGTAATCTCTCTAAAGTCATCTAGTTGTTTTAGAAATGTGAAGAGAAGGTAAGTGGGTTGATTGTAACGTGTTGCCCGTAGTCGAATGTCATTATCCAATTATTTATTGTGGATGGTATCAAGTTCAACATTGACAGTAACAAATGTTGAATTATGTTGACTGTCTTCAAGAAGAAGCAAATTTATGCCAAGAAGTATTGAGTACTGTTAGAAACAAATTTGTACAATGTGGTTTGAAATCGAATTCTCAGAAAAATTTGCTTCGTTTTGTTTGTATATTTTGATGTTTTTTTTGTACAGAGATCTGAGACCGGACAACATTCTGTTAGGAGAACGGGGTAAGATTGGTAACTACCTACATAATAGAATAAAATAGTATTGTATAGAATTGATATAATATTATCTTTATAGAGTTGCCACCATTATACAGTGTGCTTGTATGGTAAGTGGGCTTTGGTTATAAGTTCACAGTGGATTTTAAATGTGTTCAGGATTTCATTATGAAAATATAAAAAACTAGAGCACTCGGAGAGCGCAGACCTCCGCCAAGGCAGCTCAATTCTGCACAACACACAGTCCCCAGCTAAGCATACCACCACCACCAAAATGTAATCAATTCTAAATTACCCCATTTCTGACCTATCCTGAAAATTTTATACGCGAGTGCTTCACGATGCACACTACATGCGAGTCGCAGCTGCTTGAGCCCAGCACGTCCGGCGAACACGACGACGCCTCTGTCCACAGCTTGCCGGACGCCGCCGAGCTCGACGGCATGGAAACGAGCACGCAGACAATCGTCGCAGCCTCGGAACCCGCCGACTTGTGGCGCCGCCACAGGGCGCGCAGCGGCAGCAGTGGCGCCCACAAGCGTAGCTTGCCGCGCAGCGCGTCAGGCGAGCTGCGGTGTGCGTCGCTGGGCGAGCGTAGCTTGGACGGTGCGCGTCAGCGCGGACGCACGCTGTCGGCCGTCTTCGAGCAGCTGGACGTTCTTGCGGCGGCGGCCGGCGACGCGACGCTGCCGGAGACGTGCGTGCGCGTGTGGCTCGCCGAGATCGTCGTCGCCGTGTCGCAACTGCACGACCTCGGCATCGTCTGCAGGTAGGCTCTCTCTTCTCTAGATGTGTGTCTCGTGGAAGGCTCCAAAATTTTCAAGGATAGTGTCAGAAATGGGTAAACTTAGAATTGATTACATTTGCGTGTGTGGTGGTATGGCTTAGCTGGGACTGTGTGTTGTGCAGAATTGAGCTGCCATTGGCGGAGGTCTGCGGCTCTCCGCTGCTCTAGTTTTTATATTTTCATAAATGAAATTCTGAACAATCCAGCATTTAAAATCCACTGTGAACTATAACCAAGCCCACTTACCACACTCGGCGCGCGCGCGCCGCGCGTACTCATGGTGGCCACTCTATAAAGATAATATTATATCAATCCTCATCACATACTATTTTATTCTATTACTCGCTACGTCCCGCTAGTTACATCTTACCCGTTTCTCCTAACAGAATCGTTGTACGGTCTCAGATCTCTGTACAAAAAACATCAATAATACAAACTATGTTGAACCTTGACTAACCATCCCCATAAATAATTGATAACCTCGACATTCGACTACGGCAACACGTTACAATCAACCCATTTACCTTCCTCTTCACTTTTCTAAAACAACCCTAGATGACTTTAGAGAGTTACCAACAAGATGGTGAACACATGCAGCAGAACTACCCAGCAGTCCCCATTGTCCTCTCACGTGCAAAATCGCAAGGGTGAAAACCTACAGCGGAGAGCAACCCCTGAGGCACACAGCTAAAGGAGGGGCAACGCTTCCACACGAGGCACACCAGCCTAGAGGCGGAGCTTACGACGAGGAAAACACAGCTCACGCCCAGCGAGGGGTACCTTCACAAGGCACACAACTAGAAGGGCGGGACCGCCATTCACGGACCACGGCTAGGAGGAGGGGAGCAACCTTCGACGAGCCACCCGGCTAGAAGAGGAGGCCTTTCCCACGAGACACACCGCTAGAAGAGGGGAGCCTTCCAGTCTACACGAAGAGCACACAGGCTAGAGAGGGGGAGCCCTTCCACGAGGCACACCAGCTAGAGGAACGGGCGACGCTTCCACGAGCACACAGCTTAGAGAGGGGAGCCTTCCACGAGGCACACAGCTAGAGGGGGAGCCTTACACGAGGCACACAGCTAATAGAGAGAGCCTTCCACACGGCACACACCTAGAGAGGCGGACGCTCTCCACGAGGCACCGAAGCTAGAGGGGGAGCCTTCCAACGAGGCACACGCTAGCAGGAGGGGAGCTTCCCGAGTCACACAGCGACAAACACCACCTAGAGGAGAGAGAGCTTTGAACCACACAGACACACACTAGAGGACGCAGGCAGCCTTTCCACGAGAGCACACAGTAGAGGAAGAGAAGGCCTTCACACGAGACACACCAGCTAGAGGATGGGAACCATATCACCGAGAACACCACAGCTAGAAGAGCGGAAGACGCCACCTTCCACAAGACAACCAGACTCTAGAGAGAGAGCCTACCTGCAGACGAGTGCCGAGCGTCCGTGCAGTTGGACACGGCGACGACGATCTCGAGCCGAGCACCACGCGCCTAAGCACGTCTCGGCGCGTCGCGTCGCGGCGCGCCGCCCAGAACGTCCAGCTCCGCTCCGAAGACGGCGAGCAAGCGGGTCGCGCTGACAGCACTCGTCCAAGCTTACGCTGCAGCGACGCACACCGCAGCTCGCCTTGACGCCGCTGCGGCAGGCAAGCTACGCTTGTGGGCGCCGCTTGCTTGTCCACCCGCTCCGCGCGCCATTGTGGCGGCCGCCCAAGTCGGCGGGTTCCGAGGCTGCGACGGATTGTCTGCGTGCTCGTTTCCATTGCCGTCGAGCTCTGCGGCCGTCCGAACCACGCCTTGTGGACCAGCAGGCGCTCGCTCTGTTTACGCCGAACGAAACTGCTGGGCTTCACAGCAGCTGCGACGTCGCATGTATGTGTGCATCGTGAAAGCACTAATCAGCCCGATCGGCCGAGTCCTACAGGATGTGACAATGGTGTCCCTGCCACCCCTGACAACATACAGAGACTATGGACGCTACATCATACGCAAGAAACAGCGTCGTACCCACCCTCCGCTTACTCACCCTGTGAGTCTCCGTAGCGCACAACGTCGTAACCCACGCATCTGGCGAGCTTCCGTAGCGGCACACGTGCGCTTACACCCCGCTCGCTTATGTGGTCTTCGTACGCGCCCACACACCGTCCAACACCCGTACTTCCTGTGAGTCAGCTATACAGACAGCCTCCCGCTACTCTCTTGTGAGTCTCTCCCGTAGCGCAACCGCGAACGTCGTACCCCACCACGCTATTCTCTGATGAGTCTCCTAGCGGCACAACGTCGTCACAACCACCACGCTTCCTGCGAGTCTCCTGTAGTGGCACCAGCCGTTCGTACCACCCCACCCTCCGCCTTTCCTGCCTGAGCTGTCCTCCGCTAGCCGCCACAACTTTCGTACGGCACTCACGCTATATCTACGTGATCAGCTATACCAGACCGCTTCCGCATAATTCTGTGAGTCTTCCATAGCGCACAGCATCGTACCACCCATGCTATTCTGTGGTTGCTTCCATAGCGCAGCAGCATCGCTACCACCCATGCTCATTTCTGGTGAGTCTTCCGTAGCGCAGCAAGCGTCGTACCAGCCCCAGCTATACTGTTGAGTCTTCCGTAGCCGCACAGACGGTACGCAACTCACGCTATTTCTGCAAGTCTTCTGTACGTGGACAACGTACTACACCCTCGCCCTTACTGGTGAGTCAGCTATAGCAGACGCCTCGCGCTATTCTGCAAGTTTCTGTAGTGGACAGTGCTCGTATATCCACGCTCATTTCTTGCACGAGTCACTCTGTCCCAGACAGCGCTCACACCCACGCCGACGAGCTACTGGTGAGTCTTCCGTACAAGACAGTGTCTCACCACCGCGCGACTATGTGCGTCTTCCGTACAGACAGTGTCTCACCACGACGCGACTATGTGAGTCTTCCGTACCAGACTGAGGTCTGCACCACCGGACAGCGCGACTACTGTGAGTCATCTTACTGCAGCATCACACTTCTCTGCGAGTCCCGCAGCTATCACCCTGCGTCGTCGAGGGACAGCTCCGTGAGCGTCCGCACGCGCGCCGCCCTCGTCTCGCTCGGGCGACTGCCGCGAAAGCAATGGCGTCTCGTCGCCCGCGGACAAGCTCCCGAGTGAACCTGCGCCGTCCGGCTCGCGCCAGCGTCGACTCGAGACCCGCCGAGTCCAGGCCCTCGCGTCCGCGTTCGTGTTCAGGCGTCGCGTCGACGGACCTCAGCAGCTCTCTCGCGCTGCCACGATCAACGCATCGAGTCGCTACACCTGCGACCTTGCCCGACCCTCGCGCCGGCGTCACCGCCGGGTGCCGCTGGCGCTGCCGGTCCGACGGACGCGACTTGGCGGCTCGCAGCGACCTTCCAGCCGAGGCGTCCGCCGAAGCGCGCCGCCGCTCGAACAGCGGCCTCTCGTGGACGCTGTGCTCGCCGTCAAGGCTCGACAGCGCCCTCTCCCGGAAGCCGTGCGTCGCTGTCGACGCTGTTTGATGCTGAAGTTGTGCATTCGATGGCCTCGCCGCGCGCTTAATCACGCTCTCAAGTTGTCAAAAGTCTGTCGCCGCCGTCTCATCGTCGTCATCGTCGTCGTCGGACGGCTTCCCTCGCGACGACGCACAGGCGCAACACTCTACCACCGCCGGCGCGCTGGGCGCCCTGCCGCGCGATTCCGGCGGCGGGGCTCGGGCGCCGGACATGGCGGCGCGAACGTGCGGCCGACGTTGACGCGTCAGTTCTTGAACAGCTTCCGCGTAGCGCGCGTGCACGGCCTCCGTTCGACTCCACCGAGCTCTCCTGACTCGAGCGCGCCGGACGCAGCACTCGGGATGCGCAGCAGGTCGCGCTCGGCGGCCGCGGGGCGCCACTGTGCGCCGCCGAAGCTGCCGTCGCGGCCGTCCGTAGCCGCTGCTCGTGCGCGTCAGCTAAACACGTCTTCGTCGTCCGTCGTCGTGCGGGAAGCACGCTTTGCCTGCTGTTGAGGTAGGAAGCTGAAGTAGCTCCACAGCTTGCCGCGGCAGCGGGCTCGAGCACAGGGAAGATGGCGCTGTCCGTCCGTAGAAGCGCCCGAGCTTGACCATGTGCCGGCACCAGTCGTTCGGCACGTATGCTGTAGCTGGACCGTCGGCGAGCTGGTCTTGCTCAGCACCTGGAAAAAATGCTACCACGGTCGCCTGTGAGAGCTGGCTGGGTCTAAACTTCCTCGTTAACTTTACGC